ATTATTCAGGAAAAACCTTTGCCATTCTTCTTCATGTCCTACTGTTTCAAGTTATGTGAGCAAACTGCTGTATATATTTGAAGGGACTGATAGGAATAATCTTTGCCTAGCAAATCAAGATTGTTTGTGTGACACTTTTATCTTCAGCCCTAAGCCTTGCAGGATTCAGCTGGCTATTTGAGCCTAAGTTTTAGCTTGTGGCAAAACACACAAGGCCAAAGTAAATGAAGAACTTGTTTTTCTGTCACCTTTGGAAAAAAATTAAGGAGAGAGGCTCATAGTCCTTTTAACACTGTGTGAGCAAAGTATTTGTTGTGTGCTTACTAATGCTTTAGCTTTAAAGCTGCAAGAGTTTTCCAAAGTGGAAGTGGAGTCCTTCAAATCACAGCAGTCTGTGCTACGTAATCTATTCTTCAACCATTTGCGCTGGTAGTCTAATTTAGTAATTTGAAAGCATGTAAGCAAAATTTTGCTCTGTCACTGCGAAGAGTTTCTTTATCCATTGATTTGGAATGTTGTGTAAAATTTTTCTGTCCTTTTTATGTATTGCATCTTGCTTTGGGGCAAGGACAAGGAAAGATCTCATTCTGTGAGGTTTTTTTCCTTCCTTGTTCAAGGGTGGTAGCATAAACCACTGCTATTTCCATGTAGTTCGTCTATGAACTGCAGTATTAAAGCTGGGTTTTGATGGATGAGTGAAATCAATTACAGTCTTATGAAAGACAACTCTATTGTTGTGAAGTTAAAACTTTCCCTCTTCATTGTTTTGCTGACACAATATAGACATAGCTCTTAGAAAATGAAATTTTAAACTGGCCATGTTGTACTTAGAATTTTTAAAACACAATAGGCTGTCTCAGAACAGTGCAACGGATTTTTTTTTTTTTAAATATTTGAAAAGTGTGTTTAGCAGTATATAAACCTGCAGAGTGTGATTCGGGTACCTTTCTTCAAAACATTCAACAGCTGTGTAGTAGTCTTCTGAATATTGCCCAAGTGTTTAATGTGCTTAACAAAAAAAAAGGCTTACAAAGCGTTTTCCGTATGTAATATGTACTAAGCCTATCTCTTGTAGAAGACAGCCTAGATTCTTTGGTGACTGTGCGAAGCTGTTACCTTTCCTCTGTTCCTTTCATATCTTTGTGGTACAAGTCCTGGTGGGGAGGAGCTGCTTAAGCTGGGATGGCTGTTGAAGAAATGCATATGGAATGACGTTTGGAAAAGTCGCATATACCATTGGGTGGAAGGTGTGTGTAGGCAGGATGTTGCAGCTGAGCGGATATTGTGGTAGAAGTAGGTGAACCCTTCAGTGTTGGTGCTCCACGTGCTTCTTCAGGTGGGGTACTCTTGTTTTAGATACTATCAGGTCTAAAAAGCTTGTGTGCTGTAACTCAAGAAGAAATACTAAGAATTTGTGATGATTTTTGCTGATAAGAGACTGCATAGAGGAGAAAGGGAAAGGGTAGGGAGGGAGGGCACATTCTTTGGTTGGTAGGGGTATGTGAATGTCTATATGCTGTGTGGAAAAAAAGAGATGTAAAATACAGACATTGCTTGTAACTTGGCTTAGAGTACTTTTCTTTGACTTTACTGCCTTTCCTTACTTTGGTGTCCTGAATGAATGAATGGTTTTGGTTTTTTTTTTTAGTTGCAGTTCACTGAGGAAGGCGGGTGAGACGTGTATGTGTTGGAGGAGAGGTGAATGTGCAGCTGAGGGGGGAAAAAGTAAAAACAAACCAAAACAACAAAGCGAATAAACGCCCCAAAAACCCCAGACTACCAACATACAACCCCAAAACCTTGAACAAAGAAGTCCCAGTTAGAACATTTTTCTTCATGTTAATCTTGAAATTTTAATTTTAACTGCTGATGGGTATTCTTATTAATACAATAATCTCAAAATTTTTTAGTACAGTATTTTTCTGCTGAAATTTTTTGCAGGCAAAAGAAGACCTTGGTTTTTTCCTCTCAAAGTCCTATTTTCTTGCATGTGCTGATTTTTGTTCTTTTTGTTGATTTGGATGTTAACTTAATTGTTGACTTGGAATAAAATTGCTAGATTTACTGGACACTTGTTAGTGAGGTAGGGTGTACCTTTCAAGTTAAGGATGTCACACTAAACTGTCATCAAGTTGTGTGAGATGTTTGTGAAAGCGAAGCAGCAGCAATGAAGCAGCTGAGGAAATTCCATGTAGCCTTATCTTTGTTCCCTGATGCTCTTTCCTGCATCCCCTTCCCCACATTCTCTTTTCTGGCATTTGTGCTGGGTGGGAGGAACAGGACGCAGAGGGGGTGCCCCAAAGCTGCAGTTAAGTAAGGGGTGTGTTGTGTTTCTAGCTTGGGTGCAGGTGTACTGGGGGGCTGATGGGCAGCAGCTGGGTGGGCAGGGTACCGTTTCTGCTTCTGCCTGGCTTCTGCCTGCCCTCTTCCTCCCTCTGCCCCGATTCAGCTGAAGGTGGTGGAAGAGCAACTACAGTCACTGCATCAGCCTGACAAGCAGGATTCTGCTTCCCGTTCCTAAAGGAACCTAAATGCAGCGGTGAAGGCAAGACAATCATGGCAATGGCCTGTGCAGGGTGAGAGTGGGGAAAAAAGCTGGCTTTTCTAGGGATTTATGTAAGCAGGCAGCATGCAGACTGCAGGGATGACCCGAAGCATCTTGTGCTTGGGGCCTTTCAACAGAGTTTCTACTAGTTTCAGGGAAGCAGCTGGATATTGAAGGATGCTGGGAACATTTTTTGGAATTGAAGCATAAGGAGTGTGAGAGGGTAGGCTGGATAAGATTTTTAACTAATTTGTTTGCAACCTGGAGTGCCCATGGGGTTTTTTTGAGGTATGGTAATTTCAGACTGTCACAGTTGAGAAACACATGACAGATTTTAGATGTTACAGGCATTTAGGACAGGCCATGTTAAAAGCATGTTGTGTATATTTCTGTATGTCTGCTTACAGACATGTATACCTATGTAACCATGTTCTGCCATCCCAAATAGAAACAGCAACAGCTTTCTGCCCTTGGCCTCTGCAGCTTTCAGAGGCGTGCTGGGGGACTGCTCATCTCGCAATTTAAAATTACTTTTTTACTCCTCTTAAGTGCAAACAGAGTGCATGTAGGTGACTTTTCAGCTCTCCAAATGACAGAAAAACAGAAGTATAGGCTGCTGGAAATGAAGGTCTTCGGTACCTTTGTGGAAAAGGTCAGAGGCAAATGAAAATGTGAGGTTCTCTGCTCCAAGATGTGTATGAGGAACCTTACGATTAAAGCAGGTTTCAGCTCAAGCAGTTTTCTCTACCCCAGGTCACTTGTTTTCATGCCTCTCCCCACTCTTGCGCCAACACAACTGTTGCAGCTGTGTGATGAACTGGATAAGTGAACTGACCTACTTCAAGTAACCCAGGTCTCTCGATCTGGTTTAGACAGTGTGGCGACTGAATGCCTAACCCTAACTGGAGGAAGAAATTGTATCAGCACAGTACCTCTCAACCTGTGAAAGGTGCACCACCAAAATAGATGCGGAGCAAAGCATTCCTGTCCCTCAAACAAATAACAAAGTTATTTACTATTACGAGGTGCCAAAAGATTTCATGATTAAAAGGAGATGGGGTCTAAGAAAGCTTGAGAATCAGTGACTCAGACCTAAGCGAGGATTCTATTTCAAATCCAAATTCTTTGTGGGGCCCCGTGTTGGCGGTGCGGTTTGGTCTCTTTGCAAGGTTAATGGTGATAATGCCCCCCCCCCCCCCCCCCAAAAAAAAAAACCCAACCAAAAACCAAAACAAAACATTGAAGTTTTTAGTGTGTAGTCCTGGTCTGAATTTGACAGTTTGAAGCATAACACTGTAGACTGAATAGCTTTGAATTAATGACTTCAGAAATAGATTTTGACTGGAATCTGCAAATTTTAATTAAAACCCACCACTGGAAGATTAGTTTTTGATTTAAACATGGTTTAAAATTACGTTAAACCATGTGGTGATGTATCATGCAGGGAAAGTGTTCCTTTCAGTTTATTTTCTGCATCAGATGAGATTTTATGAGGATGAGCATGGCTTGAAGTGCTGTCTAGCTAATGAGAGGCATTTGAAATAAAATCGAGCAATCCATTTAGACACGTGGGACATGTTGCACTACTGCAGAGAAGGGACAACTTGACCAAGTTCATCTATATAGCCTATATGGGAAGTGTCAAATTATCTTCAAATCCATGCATGATAGCTATGCTTGTAATTCTTTGTGTGTGAAACAAGTGTTTGACACTTCCAGAACAATTAAATGCATGAGAAAAGCACTGTGGTTGTGCTTGCCACTGTTCTGCCTACTGCTATTTTGTTGGAAAGTTTGCTGTATGCTGTGAAATGAATTTGCATGTGTGGGAGTGTTTCTGACAAATACATGTCTAATTTTGTTTATAGTCATAATAAAGACATTACACAAAGGATGATCTCTATCCTAATTATTATTTAGCAATTGATATGGTCTTGTAGTAGAACTATAACTTATAATATGAGTTTTGGGTTGCAGTTAGACATTGCAACAGTTTCTTTACAGGTATATTACTTGTAGACTGGATGGAATAATTATTCAAGAAATTTGGAGAAAATACTCCTTACTTTAGAAGGAGATAGCTCTAATCAAAGCTGAGCCTGGTATTTCGGTAGCCTCTCTTCCTACATACTGTAAAAGCAAAAAACTGCTGTAGCATAATTGCCTTTTTCTGGCTATTATTAATAATATTCCTTACAGAAATAGTGTTCAAGGATCAAATTTGACTGGGATCTTGTGATGTGCTTTCCACACAAATATGAGGCACAAAAGAGGGGAACTTACAATTTTAAGCATTTTTTTTTTTTTTTTTTTGGTTGGGGGGGGGGTGTGTGGGTTTTTTTTTTTTTTTTTTTTTTTTTTAAGTCTTGTTCATGCTTTGGAGATTATACAAATATTTCAGAAAACAGATACTTAGCTGTCACTAACAAACTTCTGCTTGCTTTTCTTTCTACAGGAGATGATAACAGAGTCCACTCCGTTACGTTGCAGGAAGCTCAGCAATCCTGACATCTTTTCATCTGCTGGGAAAACCAAGCTCCATCGTCAGCTAAGTCAAGATGACTGCAAGCTACGAAGAGGTAGTTTGGCAAGTTCTTTGTCAGGTATGCCATTTTGTGAAGACCATTCATTAGTACTAAAGATGCAGTATTACTTGTTGGCATAACAGTTGTAATAAAAGATACTGATAAGTTGTTTCTTTAAAACTAGAGGTAACCTCTTGTTGGGAGGGCATACAAAATTTTGTGTAAGAGAAAGATGCAAAAAGAAATATTAGTAGAAAGGAGTGAAGAAGAGAGACTGGATTTGGTGTGAAATTTAGGCAACACAGTGATGCATTCATACTTTTAATGTCTGTAAGCTTGCCTACTTTGCCATATTGTTTCTTACTGGGAACCTGACTTTTGTATCAGGTTCAAATTATTACTTATTTTCTTTTTGGCTTCAAAAGCACTGTAGGCATTTGTGATTCAAAGTAAAAATCTTGCTTACTAACTACAAGTTTTTTCAGTTTGCATAAAATTTGTGGTTTTTTTTTTTCTTTTTTTTTTTTTTTCTTGTGAACATGGTCTTCAACCCTGTCAGAGAATTTGTCAACTGTAGAACCATGGAGCAAGCATAGTCTAGTAATTAGCCAAAAAATGGGGGACCGGTAGTTTTCTTTTTCAAAGTCTTTGTATGTGGGCTAGGGGATGGTTTCACAACTGTTTAAAGCTGGTGTCAAAGTCTGTGATGCTGGCATTAGAATGTATAGAGCTGCATGATCAGTCTAGAATGACATAGCTGATCTGCCTGAATACCACTGTTGTTCTGTAAGGTTAATTTGCAGCCTGTTTCCTCCCTAATTAGGCTGACTGTTTGCCTATTTGCATGTTAGTGCAAGAACAAGAAGGGTTGAAAACTCAAGTGAGAAGGGTTGAAAACTCAGGTGAGAGGGGAAGAGGGTGAAACCACGCATTTTGGCAGCAATGTGGGCTTAACTTACATGATTGTGAAAATACATCCGGTCCTGGTCCCTCTGTCCTTTATTAGGGGAAGATAAATATTTTAATGTTTGAGGTGCCAGGTGTAATAGAATTAAATAAGCAGTAAACTATGCATGTTTTATTTTGGGTTGGCCTTGTCTTAATGTTTTATTTGTAATAAGTGGCTCATTTCTGAAAAACGGAAACGTTCACAATGTTTTGCACTCATAAGTTTGTCCTCTAAGGTAGGTTAATCACTAGAGGAGAACAGAAGTTTATTACCTACACAGCTGTTGGCTGATTACAATGGCCAAAGATAGTACTGTAGGGTTTGTGGTTTCCCCACCCCCACCTTGAGTAGAAGTAAGCAAAGAAAAGTAAATAGGAGGAAGCAGGAAAACTGGAGAAGTTCTCTTCTTCTTAAAAAAAAAATAATTCTGTTTGGACATAACATTCTTTTAAATTTTCTGTCCTGAAATGATAATGTTCTCTAGAACTTGTTGCTTCATCTTAATGACTTAAATCTGCTATAGCCTGATTCAGGAAAAGAGCTCCAAGAAGATCAGTTTGACCCAATTGGATAAAGAAAATGTATCTGTTTAGATATATGCTTTAAATGTGGGTGTTTGGAATGTGTGTAGGACTTGAGGCAGAGCAAGGAAAGGCTTTAGCTTCCAAGCTCCATCCTGAAAATAATTCCACCTTATTTTTGCAACAGAAGCAAATAGGTTTAAAGACTATAGATGATTGTGCATGCAAACTGGTTGGCTTAGATTTGACTCTTAATGGAATTCTGTCTTCTTGGATTGAGATTTTGTGAAACTAAAAGGAGACAGTGATAACTATATCTTATGGAGATTTAAGTAATGTTATTCTTGCTCTCAAGCACTGGCATTTTGAACTGTTATTATTTGAATTGCCATTATACGATATCTTTGTTAATGCTTTACTGAGATAAATACAGAAATGTACATTTCTGTAGTTTTAGATCTCTGCAGACAAGAGGAGTCTCTATTATTTACACATAATCTTGAAAATGAGCAAACCATGAAAATCATGTCCACAGCTGTAAGCAGCTTGAATGGGACTGGCGAAAAAGGTACCAATTATACTGTGTCTCTGTTTGCTAGCTAAAGCTGAGCCTTCTCATCTCTCATACACTTTGACTCATTCTATTAATGTGTACTTGACCCATTGCTTGTAACTTTCACGGAAAATTAACACAAACAAGTTTAAAAAAAAAAAAAGACAAAAAAGAAAGACACCACTCCTGCTCCCTGCCTCCCTGGCACTATGGCTAATCACATTTTGTGACAGTCTTCCCAATATTGTAGCTGCTTTTATGTAATGAATGTAGTATTTCACATCTAATTCTAAGGTGAAGTTGAATTTGTAAAATAGCTTGCTGCCTCTGAGAAAAAAGTATCACAGTATCTGTGATTAAAGCTGTAGACCTCTTCTTGCTACTTATTGCAATAAATGTCTTACTCTCCTGTGATTGCTGCTCTGGTATCTGAGCATGTAATAATCTGTTGAATGCAACTATTGTCACCATGCTTGGAAGGGAGTGTGTACTTTAGTCTCACAGTCCTAATTTTAAGGAAGAGAGGTATTATTCACTCCCATTTTGCAGATGGTGAAACTGAAGTGCCGAGGTTGACTGACCAAAGTTACAGAGGAAGTCATCTGGAAGCTAATAATGGAAGCCAGATTTACAGACTTTTTCACTTATGTGTTTTTAACCACAAGACTATCTTTCTTCTCTTTCTTTCTTTCTCTTTTTTTTTTTTTCTTGTGAATGACACTGTACATGAAAGGAAACTGTCAAGCTTGATGGAGTAAATATATGACCTACTTTGGTTCTTCCTCATTGTGGAAATTTACTGCTTGACATTTTTTCAAAGAGGAATGTTATATTTCCTAGAAGAAAAATGTATTAAGCAGATCCTTTTAAATGATTACTGTATTTCCTGCAGTAAAGTACAATGGCGTGAACTTGTTGAGATAGGAACTACTCTTCTCACTGTGTAGCATGGGAGATTAGCGTCTACACTAATCAGTCAGACACAAGGGAGGCTTGGGAAAGCTACAGAATGTTTTGCTTTTAAGATAATGTGATATTGCTGAAGGGTGAAATTTTTTAGACAGAAAATATCCATCCATGGTTCAAAGCAAAAAATGTTTAAACATACACTATATTCTGATCACAGCTGCATGAAATCTAATGCCGCATGTTCCAATGGTAGGAGGAAGTGGGGATGTCTAGATGGCTAAGCTATTTAGAGGAGGTAATATTTTACAATTATGAATGCATTTTCAAAGAATTTTTAGAATTATACATAAGAGATTTTGCAACATTAACATTGCCTTTCTATAGGGCAATAAATTGTTTAACTGGCAGCAAATATTGTTTCCTTTTTAAGCTGTTTGAAGTATAGAAAAGTATAAAGTGACAGAAGTCTGTTTCTACAAGGTTTTGGATTTACCCATTATCTCAAAACGTAAATTAGATTTTTTGGAAATACTTAGTTATCAAACATAATGAATTAATAGGTAGCAGGCTCTTACAAGTTCTAACCTATAAACACTTTTTCTCCACATGCAATATTTGTTTTCAGCATTGTATTTTGAACTTGCAAACTTGTTTAAAAACAAGCTGATAGTATTTTGGTTTTGTTTTTAAAGGAAAACAGCTACTTCCCATATCAAACAGTGTTCACAGTGGAGTGGGACAGCCGATATGGCAGCCACCTGGAGATACCTCAAACCTGGTCCGCATGAGAAATCAGTCCTTAGGACAATCTGCTCCTTCACTTACTGCTGGTTTGGTGAGTGAGTCTGGGAATACTCATGATGATTTTGTGCTCTAAACAAAAAGTGGTGTGATCCTTTTCTTTAGTTTTTACCTTGCTTTCCCTGCTTCTGCTCAGTGAATGCAGCATTTTGTTCCTGTGGACTCTTTTTAGGGTAGAAGGTGAATTGATAGAATATGTTCATCTTGCTTTTGTCTAAAAGCAGGAAAAAAAAAAGTGTGTGTGAAGAGTAATTTCTTTTTGGGGATGCTCCTTCTCAATGCTACTTAAGATGACTGATACCTGAAAGAAAATATCACTGGAAGTCTAAGGAGATGTGGGCATGGGAACTTGACCATTTAAAACTAGTTTAATTAGGAAACAGCTTTCTGAGTAGCTATCTCTGCCAGTTTCCCTAGAGAATAGCTAGGGGGATAAAGCTGAAAGGGATAACTGTCCAAGGAATTGAAGAGCTGGAACTGACATCTGCTCTTCTGCATGGTTTCTGTCAAAAGGTTTTGGTAAAGTGAACACATTTTTTAAGAATGCTGCATCTGTTAAATCATCATTTTCTAAGACGACAGTATTCGGGGGGGGTGGGGTGGGGAACTCAAATGGCTATAGTCAAGACTGAATTGCAAACCAAAAGGAGAATATGTTTTGTTTGTAGATTTTCCTTATTACCTCTAAATATCTAAAATCACTGAAGTGCAAGAAGAAAAATACAGGAGTAGGAAAAGACAGTTATTTGTGTGCAGTCATATACACAACAGAAATTGTTGCTAAATGATAGACTAAAAGCAAAGATAGAAGCTTTTTTTGCCAAACTTCCATAGAGTTGCCTATATAACAAGTTTTACTCAAATGAGGTAGTTTTGGTGTGCACTACTTTATAGAGCTGCAAGTAACTGTGTAAATTTATATTGCGTTGTAAGACTGTTTAGAAGCAATGACCCCTTAAGTAACAGGTTGTACCTTGGATATAGCCCTTAGATTGTTAGCCCTTAGAATTTTTGGGGGGATCCTAAACAGTTTGGCACCACCAGGCTATGAAAACAGACTTAAATCGTTAAAGTTCAAAAAGCAAATGCCTTGAAGCTTTATAGCTTAAGTTAATGAAAGTAACTGTGCTTTAAAACAAAGTGTTAGTTCTCAGATATTTAATTTGGTATACTAGTTTGTTGCTTAACAACTGTGTACAATTCAACGAGCTGCCGATGTGTTTGTGTTACAATTCTGCATATTACTAATATGATGTATTTTCAGTTTGTCATGCAGTGTTTGTGCTGTCTATTCAGTGTTCTGATATGAAACGCAATGCCGATATCTTATGTTCAAATAATTTAAAATTCTCTGCTTTCTAATTAAAGCAGGGAAATTCAGATATAAATCCAGTATTTGTCCCTTTGTGATGATGCTAGGTACTGAAATACACTTTTCTATCTCTGTATACTTTATGGTGGGCTGTATGTTAATTACAGTTGCAGTTAATTAAGCCTAGAAATTAAGAATTTTTATATGAAGTGAGCTTCTAAAGCAATGACTAAAGAGCTGGTCACAAGATGAACACCTAATTAAATGCAGTGAGTCTTGGGATCTTAGAGCTAGTTACGTGTTTGCAGCTGTTTTAATATGCTTGTGGTATTGAAATACGTTTCACAAATTAGAATAGCAAAAGGTCTCTTGCCAGTACAATTAATCTCCTTTGAAGAATAGCTTTATTAAGAGATGAGTAGGTTCAGTAATGCAGAGTGTCATTTTAATATGCTAGCCTTGATTGCTGGAGCATTTAATTCTTTTATTATTTGTTATAATACAATAGATGGCTAGCTAGAGAGAAGTGGGAGTGTGGTACAGGAATGTTTCAGAATACTCAAAGCTATGTGCATTGTTTCTGCTCCCCCTTTTTGGCACTATAGGTATCAGTGGATTTTCCTTTGCTAAATTGCTTTGCTGGCATTCAGTGATGTGGTGGTTTTTTGTTTTTGTTTTTGGTTTTTTTGTTTGTGTTTTTTTTTTACTTTCTAACCACTAGTAATCCTACAGATTGTGTGCTGTGCTTAAATTGCATTATTTTCAGCTTTGAAAGTATTTGCAAAACAAAAAGACAAATTAACAATATCAAATCTATAGAAATGAGTTTGCAGCTTCTGAAAGAAGACTGATAGCTAGACGACTTATCAGCAACAACTCAAGAAATACATCAAATATGGAAATTCTTCATCAAATAGTAACATGCTGAACTACATAAGCACAATTTATTGTCAGACAGAACCTTTCAGCTCATAGATGTAGGATAGTCTGGATTAATGTATCTGCATAGCAGTTGCCACTACATCCTTGACTTGAGAAAGAAGCCAGGGCAGACTGAATGCTGAGTGCTCTCATCATGGAATAATAGATGTTGATCTGATCTGTGTGCCTTCTAAATATATGCAAGGATTTCAGAGGATGACCTTCAGTTGATCACTTACCCTTAAGATGGATGGCTCTGATCCTAGTGGATTGAATTCTGCTGGGGAGCGTCCTATTTAAGACTTATAAATCCCTAAGATAGCCAAGGGAGTAATCGGAGAAAAAAGTCATAAAGCATCATAGTGGGCATCTCAGTGGTGTTTTCTGATCTCAAGATCCAAATACAGTAAAAACCGGGAGCACAGGGAGTGTGTATAAAGTGTGTGTATAAGGAACAGAAAGATAATAATATGGAAAATCTCTTATGACTTAGTTTGGGAGTTTATTTATCTGAAGTCTTGACCTGCAGGCACCCTGTCGTAAAAAGAACTAGAACTTGACTAGAATTTGGAGTGTGTTTTGAAGGCAGCTGATGTGAATGACCAGGAATATGGATGCATTCACTTATGAAGAAAGGCATGAAGAGTGTCCAGGTTTGTTAATTTCAGAAAGAAAGAGAGCTTGTGAAGAGAAGGTTGTGGTTGTTGTTGAGGAGGTAGTTTGGGAGTGTCTTTCTTGCAAATATTTATTTTGACAAAACTCAATGTGAATGAAATTGATTGCCAGAAGCAATGCTGTAAGGTATTAATATTCTAGGGCTTGGAGCATTTATGGGTGGGCAAGGGGTGATTTTACTCTCATCTTTATTGTTAAGGATGAGTTGCTCAACTGGAGCGCTACACTAATGCTGAATATGTATTTGCATTTGTGGATAGAGATGTGGGTTTTTTTGTGTATGTGTCCCACCCCCTCTCTCCCTATAGAGAGCATCTCAAACACCGTCTCCAACATTTTGTGCAAGAAACATCTCACAGTGTGGTACCCATTAATTAGGACTACATCTTACATGCATTGCTCACTATCTAATGCCTGGAAAAGTTTGAGATGTTCCAAAAATAAGAAACAATGTGTGTTCCTTCTGCCAGTTATGGTGATGGGAAAACATTTGAAGAAGCCCAGTTGGTGGAAAATTAGATGCTTTTGTGGAAGAAATTTTGGAACTTTGTTTTTAGTACTTAACAAACTTCAGTTTCCTAAAGTGCTCCCAGTACTGAACTGAAATTCACTGTACTCCTTGGACTGAAAAAATTTGACATCTATTTAGAAAACGAGGTTGAGGATTCTAGCTGGGTGGTTGCAGTTCTCTCTTTGGTGTAAACTTTCTTCCTTATATTCTGTACCACATGGTATGTGGTCAGAGCTATTTCTTCATCTTCAGAGATGAAGTCTGCTGACTAAGCAGTTGCTGCTCTGTTAATCCTCTGATGCCAGACTTGCAAGATTTCCTTGTAGGGTCAGTCTCCTCTTCAGCAAATAATTTCAAGTCACTTAACAGTTTTACATTTACTTTGTAAGGTAATGGTTAAGACAAAATGAGACAATCTTGTATTCTTTGCTATTGTAGAGAGTGCCAGATAGTTCACCCTTCCCTGGTCTTGTTGTAGAAGAAGTGGTTAAAAAAAAAAGCTTCTCAGATTTTGAATAATGATCTGCAGGATAGAAAGGCTCAAATGCAAAGGCTTGAAATTACTAACTGAAGAACTTCCTGTGTTGAATAACACTGAGGCGGTGACGCTGCCTGTTCAGCCTGATTTGTCCAGAATGTTTAGTTCCCCAAAGCTGTGCGGATTAGGTGATACCAAGTGGAATGGGGAAAATGGTTGTTCTTGTGATGGTGGGTCCTTGGCTCCGCAAGAAAGCACATATTGGAAACCTGGTAACTGAGACAGGCTTCACAGCATGGCATGTTGTCCTTGATGTCCAAGTGGGGTATGCTTTTTAGATGTAGGAGAGAATATTTACTCTTGATTTTCTAAATTTTTGCTCCTTTGCTTTTTTACTTAGTTTTAGATGTATCAGGAATAGAATCATTTGTACCTAACGGACCACATGAGGGGGACCAGGAGGGTAAAACCCCTCCCACTGTAAGAGAAGATGAGGTTCGTGGCCACCTGAGGAACCTGAATGCACATAAGTCCATGGGACCTAATGAGATGCATCCCAGAGTCCTGAGGGAATTGGCTGGTGTAGTTGCCAAGGCACTCTCCATAATATTTGAAAAGTCATGGCAGGCCAGGGAAGTTCCCCGGGGAGGGGAAAAAGGAAA